CTGTTAACATGAGCAAATCTGCCATCTTCTTCAGCAGAAATACTCCTCAGCCACTCCAACAATCCATATGCTCTAATCTCAATGGCATTACCTCCCACAGGTCCACCAGATATTTGGGATTACCACTTGGAATAGGCAAATCCAAAAAGGAAGTATCTGATTACCTTCTTCATTCTATCAGAGGCAAATTACAAAGCTGGTCCAAACTTCTAAGTCTAGCTGGAAGAGAAGTGCTACTTAAATCAGTTGTTCAGGGTTTGCCTATTTTTACAATGTCATGTTTCAAATTGCCCATTACTCACTGTGCAGAGATCTCACAACTTTGTGTTGGTGGCAATCTAATGATCAGCAGTCCAAAGGAATTCATTAGCGGAAGTGAAGTGTGCTTTCTCTACCCAAAGGGAATGGAGGCTTAGGCTTTTTGGATCTGCAAGTTTTTAATCCAGCCCTCATTTGCAAACAGGTATGGAGAATTGCTTCAAACCCAGATCTTCTGGTGAGTAGACTATTGAAAGACAAAAACTTCCCTCAGACAGCCATCACTCATGCTACTAAATCTCAGAAAGAATCTTAGATGTGGAACTCATGGATGGAGGTGATAACTTTGTTTGCAAAGTGGTTGAGGACATAGGTAAGAAATGGAATGTTTACCCAAATAACAGATTTTAATTGGGTTCCTGCTCTTCAAAAACATCTCCCACTCTTATTCTAATTGCCAGAGAACATCTCATATGGGTAAGAGATCTTATAAGCTAAAGTGGATCTTCCTGGAATGAATGGCTAGTGAGGCAAGTTTTTGACAGCACTGACAGTGAAGCTATTCTAAGCATCTCATCCCTTAACACTGACAGAACTGATAGAATCTATTGGGGACTTGACAAAAAAGGTCAGTTCACTGTATCCAATGCCTATAAGCAGTTTTCTAGCATCAAACTTGCTCAACTAGACATTCTTGAGAGTAGTTCCAGTTCTTCTATTTGTAAATCAGTGCAGTTCAGACTTCAGAAGATAAAGGTGAAAGGAAAGCTCAAACACTTCCTGTGGAAGTGTATTGCAGGTACCTTACATGTAGCCAGTTTGCTTAAGAGGAAAGTTAACATTGATCACATCTGCTCTCTTTGTGGAGAATCTTCTGAAACTATTGAGCATGCATTGTTGAGTAGCACAAGAGCCAACAGAGTTTGGGAACTATCACCAGTGTCATGGGAGGGAATTGCAGACTGCAAAGATTCTTTCAAAGAATGGTGGTTCAAGATATGCTCCCTTGATCATTTTGAAGTTGCCGAAGCTAGGATACAACTATCCACATACATCCTTTGGTGGCTTTGGAAGTCAAGAAATTTGTGGGTATTTCAGAACTCCATTATGCCAGTAGCAACAGTGATTAAGGTGGCTCATTCAGATTGGATCCACTACATCTCAGCTATTGGTCTGTTGGCTTGATTCTTCTATTCATAATTTCTGTTTCTTTCTTCTTTTGGAGTACAACTTCCTTTATAGGATTTTAGCAGTAGAAGGCAGTTGTACTTGGGGTAGTTTTTCAATTTTAGTTGTTCTTTCCTCTTGTAGAGGCTCTAGACCACCTTTTGGGTGTGTCTCTCATTTTTTATTTGCGATTTTCCTTTGTATGTTGAACAATGTATTAGGACTATGTCCTCGTTGAGTTTTATGATAATATCTCTGTCGTTTTGGAAAAAAAAAAGAATACACATAATTTATCCGAGTTCGTATAAAATATTGCACTTTATAGAATAACGAGTTGCACTTTATAAAAACATATTGCACCTTATAAAACAATGCGTTGCACTTTATAAAACAAGAAGCTAAGTTTTATCATCATACTTCACAATTAAAGTTAATAGTTATTCGCACCAAAATACCACACAACATAATCTAAGAAAATGGATCTATATAATATTTTAACATCTATCACATCATTTGTCCACATAAAACACAAGCATGCTAATACACCGAAATTACAGTAGTGCACTTTATATACAACATATAACACTTTATACATCAACACATTGCACTTTATAAAAGAACACATTGCACTTTATCACGACTATAAGATCGCCTGAAATAGCGAATGAAGCCAACCGAACTCAATTTTATATTTTTTCAACCAAAAATATTATAAAAATAATAACTAAAATTATTAACATGTTAAATATAATTTTAATATAAATAACAAATTATTTCAATAGTTTATAATAATTCGGTTAACCAAAGCAAGTAAACCAATTAATTATGTTCATATTAACTTGATTAGGACCAAAGATCACTTGGTTCAATCTTCACAATTCATAATGCCAACCTTAATAACTGATAGATTGCACAGTATATTTCGTTACATATATACTAATATGTTTGATAAAAAAAATAATATAGAATATTAAGCAAAATAATATTAAATACGAATCATGTACATAAAACACAATAAAAACACAGTTTCTCTCGTCTCCCCAAAATTCATCAAACCCTAGGCGCCGCTCTCCCCATTTCGCTGGCTTTCACGGGGCTTCTGGGCTCCGTCGGCCGCCGTCCTGTGGCTACTCAGCCCTTTCCCGTCGTCGCCTTAATGCGATTTTGACCGAATTTTGCCCAAATCCACGCCTTCCCCGATGTGTTGATGTTGTGGTTATGCATAGCTGCAGCCCTGATGCTCCGTGCAGAGGTAAGGTAAGAGCGCACTCCTGTGCTCTGAGTCCCCTGGCTACTCGGCCCTTTCGATTGTTTGGTTGATTGTGTTTGGATGTATGTGTTTGTGTTGTTTAGGCGCTTGTGCTTTTGGTTTGGGTCGTTGGCCTCTGTAAGCTTGAGCGGGAGCATCTTGATTGTCCTGTTAGGAGCAGCTCTCGTCTTTATTCTCCTGTTGGGAGCTTTGTAGTTTTTACAATTGTTTTGTTGTGTTCGTTTGTCTAGTGAGTCTTGATTTGTTTCTAGCGTTGCTAGCGTCAGGATTCTAGGCGGTCTTCAGACATGTCCTCTCATTTTATTCAGCTTTTGGTTGCTTTTTATTCTCCTGTTGGGAGCTTTGAATTTTTATTTGCACATTTGTGCCCTTGGTTTTTTAATAGATCCTCTATCGTTTCGACAAAAAAAAAAAATACGAATCATGTTTTTTATAATAAATAATATAATTTATGTCTGTTATTTTGGTACTTTATGTTAACCAACAAACTAAACTTATTATGTCGAAATTTTAAATACGGAATTTTAAATTTCATTTTGATTAATTGTTTTTACCTTTAATGTGCATATTTATACACAATTTTGTGCAATTCACTTAATAAAAAATTACATATTTGTAAAAAAATTTAATAGTTTTGCATACATATGATATTATGTTTTTAAAGTGCACACATACACACAATATTGTGCATCTAATGTGTTATTATTATGTAAAAATTAATTTCAATTATTTATAAATTGCTTTAAAGTAATATAATACACATATATTAAAAGATGAGAATTTGCAAAATAGGCCCCAAGGATTATCTAAATTTAATATGAAAGACCCAAAATCAATTATGAGTGGCAGTATGAGTATGGATGTTATGCAGTCCGTACGCGCCCATGTAATTATCTCACCATCGCCTCCGACCACACCGAGCGTCACCCCGCCATCGTCCGATTCCCGTCTCATCCTGTGGCCACCGGTGGACCTTCGTCGGTCGCCGTCCGTACGACACCACCGTCGTCGACTTCCGTCAGCCACCACACAGTCACCCGCCGCGAAAAAAGGAGATGCTACCGACGACATAGACCACCGATGAACGCCTGTTGCAGCGGAGTGCGACGGTTGTCTTCATGATCGCCGGCGAGCTCGCCATTCGGGCGTGGTTGTTGAGATCGAAGTTATGGTGGCTCTGTGAAGATCGGCCGCTGTCATCGTGGTCGCCGGTGGTTGTGTGCGGTGATGCTGTCGTCTTTTGTGTGTGTGTGTATGTGTGTGTGTGTGTGTGTTAACTGTTTGCGTGCGTGAAGAAGAAACATATTTTTTGTGTGTGTATTGGTGTGTGAGAGAGGGAGGGGAAAGTTTAGTGGTGGGGCCCACTTAATTATGTGAAACTGAAATTACACAAGTGCCCTTTGAGGTGTCCATTTGACCATTAAATATACATATATTTACAACTATGCCATTGTGTTTTGACTAGATTGTTACGATTTGATTGTTCACATCCATTGATATAATTGATCCAACAGTACAAATTATTATTTTCATCATCTCTCTTTTTTATATGATCCTTTCTCTCTCTATATATAATTATATATATATATCACACTCATACTTTTAATCCAACCTAACACTAAAATAAAAGATATTCAAAAGAGTTATACATCACTCTTTCTCGATTTGCTATTATTAATAAAGATATTCAAAAGATTTTCTCATTCATTATTTTATTTTATTTTTTCTTTTATAAAACCAACATAAATAATTAATTATATCCACATCAGATTTATCTGCTACTTTCAAATTATTCCTGAGTGTTACAAACAAGCAAAACGTGCATAGGTGCTCTTTAGTTAGGAAAAAAATATAATTCGAATTAATATGCTATTGGATTTGGATATTCAATTATTAAAATATTTTATCCTTCAAGTACTCTTTTATCATTTGAATACTTAATTTTATTTATATTTTCGTCACTAAAAATGTATCAAGTATAGGGACATTTTAGTCCGTGCACTATTCAATTAGAGTTTTTAATATTAAAACTATTCTTTTATCGAAGTATAAAAATATTTCAGCCCATGACAATTTTTTTCATTTTCAAAATCATTCTTATTTTGTAGTAATACAGAAAATTACTTGATGGATAAAGTACCAAATACCACACAACAAACTTGAAACATATTCTCTCAAAAGAAGAACAACAATAGCTGGTCTTATAATTTGTCCTTACAAACTTTCACTTCGCGCTCGTGCACACACACTCCATAATTGAACTAACACCACGATCCAATCTTACCCAAAAATGGACAGTAAACTATTAACCTCTTTGTGGCAAGGAGTTCCCGATCCACTCCAAGGATAGTAAACGATCAACCTCTTTACGGCTCATCTGGAAGGACTTGGCGAGAAGATCCGGGTGAACCAAAGGCTCCGACCCGAATATCGCCTTTGAAATCGTCACGAGTCCAGGCTTTTGGCTGCTAAAGCACGCGAACGCAAGCGCTTTAGTATTCCCGAGGTTGTACTGAAAATGCACGAGTCCCTTGGGGACCACATAAAGGTCCCCCGGTCCTAGGACCTTTGCGTAGAGCTTGTTCTTATCGTAAGGGTTGGCTGGGTTGGTGGATATGAAGCCCGCGTAGAGCGTGCCCTCCATCACCATCAGGATTTCGGAGGCGTGGGGATGGGAGTGGGGCGGGTTGGCTCCGTGGGGATTGTAGTCGATGCGGGTCACGGCTACGCCGAGAGTGTTGAGAGCGGGCATCTCATCAACGAATACTTTAGTCACCACTGTCCCGAAAGGGTTCGTTATGTTGCCGGGCCTGTTGAGGCCCGAGAAATAGAAGTCGTCTGCGGTGACAGTGTTTGGATTCTTGCAGATCTTGCCGTTCACGAAAACTGTATTAATAATGTATTACCGACAATATTCAAAGTTTATATTTGCTTTTATCAATTGGAACTAACATAGACGAGGAATGAATTAATGAAAAAAAAAACAAACAAACAAACATGTCAGTGAAAAATGATCGATGTTATTACCGGTAGCGTCTTTGTCACTTACACCAACGCAGAAATCCTGTAAAGGTTCGGGATCATAGGCATCAGCATATAAGGACACCACAGTAACAACAATGATCACTAGTAACATGGTTTTGGCCGATGACATATTTTAGTGATATTTGGCTCAAAAGTAGGTATATAGATATTTTGGATGATATGCAGCTGAAGAGAAGAAGGGTATTTATAGTGGATAGATGGAGGGATGTCAGAATCAATCTACAGTTGTTTAAAGCAATATCTAACAGCTAATCACTTGATATGGGAGCGCCATAAACGCCACCATAAACGCCACCATAAACGCCTAGCCATCTCCGTCGGCCGCCGTCGCCGGAAATGACCCGCCTAGCCGCCGGGCCTTTTTTTTCCATTTTTCTTTTTCCCCTCCATTTTTCTCTTTTTCCCATGGCTCTTTCTTCTCCCCAACCATCTTCTGCCAGCCTCATCCCGCTGGAATTAAGCCTTTTAGTCTCACAGTGTTAAAATTATGCTCATTTGATTAGCTGGAAGTTTGTTGATGCTGAAATTATGCTCATTGATTAGCGGAAGTTTGGTATCATTGGTGGAAAAATTAGAGATTTCTTTCTTTAATTGGTACCTATTTGAGGATTAGTCATTTAAGTGACCAATTTTTAGAAAATATCCTGTAAGTGCCAAAAATCGTGAGAAATGGTCATGTCACCGGCAAATGCAGATCACGATCACTTTTACCGGGTAGTCTACGTGGAATTCTGATTTATTTATTTATTTATTTATTTTTGTTGAGTTGTAAGCCACGTGGAATATGTGGCATAATTACAAAAAGAATTGTAGATAAGAGGATTCGAACCCGCATGGATAAGCCATGCAAGTGGCTCATGAGCCACTTGACCTAACATAACTTAATTATATTAAATATTTGGCATCACTTATATATC